AATTGAGATATGCCCTGTACTTGAGATAAGTAAGTTAACACACCTAACTTTTAAACCACTGGAGGGAATTGTATGATTTTTGAGTATGTTTGTATATGGAGTATGCTGATTCTGAAAATGTATGTTTTATGTGAATGGCCTGTATATTTCGAAAGTTATTAATATTGTGTAAAAACTGCATATTTTCTGCCTGTGATAATTAAGTTAGTCTATTGTGTTGAGATAATTGTATCACAGGCAGAGGGGAGGATTTCTGGTGGTATGAATGGGAGTGTTTAGCTGTGTTGTAATGTATTTATTGGTTGTTCTTCAAAACCCTGTGGGAAGTACTATGTTTGTAAAATGGGCATAAAAGTAGAGTGTTGGATTAAAGTTTCAGTTCTACTTCACCCTCAATTTGGAGTGCCGTCTCTTATTGGGGGAATCTGCTACAAGGGATTGCTATGCTCTGCATATTCCCTTGCTATAATCACTCCTAAGCTCTTTTAAGAGCTTGTTCCTGCCTTGCTTTCTGGAGGAGTCTACTGTGGTTATGGTTTCAAGTGGAGTGCTTGGAGTCCTCAGGAAGCGCTAGGAGCATCCATCAACGGAGGTACCCAGTTGGGGTGCCAGGTGATCCGTTAAAGTACACACTGTAATTGCATTGGCTCTCAGGTCCAGGACACTCCCAAATAAAACACGATAATCCTCCCCCCTGTGCCTGAGAGATAATTGAGCCAGGAACTGTACTAAACTCAATTATCTCCAGGCACAGAAAACATACATTTTACAATACCCCAAAACAAATGGAAAGCCCACTAAAATCATACCCCCTGATAGCCCCAATCTGGGGGACCAACATATCAAAAATCACCCAGATTAGTTCAGAGGGTTTGGGATTTCCATGGAAGTCATAAATTGACCAACCGCTCATTAGGCTCCTGCCCAAAACAGTTCCAGAGAATCAGGGTGTAGCGGAGTAGAGGTATAACCCGCAATATCTCCGCTGGTAGACGTGGTTAGCATACAAATCCAAAGTAGCATGGAAATCCCAATCCCATTTCCCCAAAACTAGATGACACACAGTTTGGGAGTGAACCGAGCTTTTATTGCACCACAGCCGGTTTTATACACATCCTCATGCAATGGGTTTCCTTAATGACATTCCAGGGGTTTTCTCCTGGTGGACCTTGTGGAAAACTGAGTGTACAATAACATTTCCCATTATCCTTTTCTGTACTGGAGAGATAATTGCATAAGAGTACACCTTTAATTACATTATCTCTCCGTACAGAAAAACACAAAATATTGGCTAAAATATCATAATTCGTATAATATTATCAGAACTCCACGAAAGATGGTGTCGAAAGATGATGTCGAAATACCGCTCAGATCAGTTCTTTAGAATAGAAAAGCCATTCGAGTGAAGTTATAGACCGTTTAGGTGAGAGCCCCAAAACAGTTCCAGGCAATTGCAGGCTTTGACTGGCCATCTTTCGGGAGTTCATACAAATTAACAGGCAAAGGTACACATTTATAAACTGGGTAGTCGTGTGTGTGATGGTCGGTAGTTTAATTTAGGTGAACGCCGCTCAGTTTGGACGAACGGAACTATCTGCACGAACGGCATGGAAGTCCAGCGGTGTTCGCGAGGTCGAGTAGCCGATTTTAGTTCCATGCACTCGACGACCAAACACCGCTGGGCGTTTGTGCACCAAGATGGTCGCCGTGTGTTCATTCATACGAACGGCGATCACCCATTCAAC